CATGGTTGTCACAGGGATTTGGCCCTGTCTGTCACAGCATGCTCTACTCTATTAATCCATTTTAGGGTTTTTGGAATCTATCTTTTTTTTCTCCCCCTCTCTCTTTTACTCACTCTATTTGCAGGAATAAAAAATAATTTTGAAACTCCCCTGAAAAGCATGTCCCTGCCTGATCTGTGTCTATTGGGTTTACTCAGTGCTGATTTCACTAATTTTAAAATACTGCATTTAAAAAAATTAAATATGCATATTATGGTCTGTAAAAAAAGAGTTTTGGAAAAAGAAGTTAGTCACTAAAGCAAAGAGCTGTGTGTTCAAGTTGAAAGTGGGTTAAATTTATTACCCGGTGAAATTACAAAGTCTTTTATGGGTTTTAAAGGATGGTGAAGTCATAGTGGAGCCACAAGGAGGTCCAGTGTGCCAGGGATAGGACCGTAATCTCCAGGTCTCTTTAATGACATCATGCATTGGGTTTGGCAGCTGCCCAAACCCAGAGGGAGGAGACGGTGAGCTGATGTGTGTTTTTACAGTTTCACATGGCAACTTTGGGGCCGAGCTGTTCAGTGCACAGACACCAGCATCACTGCAGGAGGATAATATCACGACACAGCCTGCAGCCCTTACTGCCTGTTTTGTTGGATTGAATTACATTGTTTGGTTTACATTTAGACTTTAAGAGGGGTGGCTTTTAAAATATTAGGGTAAAGTAAACAGTGAAGCACAGTCATCAACTGAAGCAGACACACTTTTTACATCTTGATCTACCTCAGATTTGTAGAATGCTTTGCTGTTTATCAATCGTTTGTCATTCTCTCATCATGTAGGAGATTTATCTTTAAACTTAAAAGAAATAATCATGTGAAATTCGTGGTGATAGTTATTGATATCGACTGATATACATCTTGATATAATTATTTTAAACAGATCACATCGGAAGTTTCATTATTAGGTCTAATCCTGCAGGGCTGTTGTAATGGGTTACATGAATATTATGAAACAGTGTCTGCCTCATTGATATTGAGTTTTATTTTATTCATTTCACTTGGATCACATTGTTTGATATTTGTTATAGGAAATAACTGTAGCTGTACCACAAAGTTCTACATTCAAATAGTAGATTTTTATTTTTATATTAGGCTTGCATGACTATATCATGATGTTTGATGCATTGTCATGTTCTTCCTAACTGTGCAAATAAATATGTGCAATAATTATAGATGTAAAAAAATAAACTACAATATTCCCCTCTGGAATGTGATGGTGTACAAGTAAGCAAAGCATGTAAATAAAGTTTACCCCTGAAATAAAAAGTTTAAAAGTTCAAGGACATGTATGAGATGAATACAGAAATGCCAATGATGCATCTGCTATAACGGTTTTTAAGTGAACCAAATATCATCCTCCTGTTTTACCTCTGTTGGTGGATATAGGTTATAAAACACCGCTGTGGTCCAGACTCACCTCTCTCTCTCTCAGATGAAGTGTCTCTCTCTCCAGCAGCTGTGCGCTCTGTGCGTCCTGCGCGTTTGGCCAAGAGGTGAAGTCTGAGGAGGCACCGCAGCTTTAAAGGACAGGGAGAGCAGAGAGGAAAAAAAAAAACACAGCAGGACACGAGCCAAACCTCTGTACACTCACATAAACAATGACCTCAACCAGGAATTTACAAGATCTCTCAGCAAAAGTTCTCATTGGCCCTGAAGCTGAATGGGATCAACAAGAAAAAAATGTTTTTTCACCAGGAATGGAAAAAAACTATCTTGTTGTGTAGGAGGTAGCTCTGCAGAGGGTCCCCCCTGTTCAGTTGTTAATTTAATATCTGGCATAAATTCTGTATTTCAGGTATTTATAAAATTATGGATTGTCTTGTTTTTTCCTCCTACTTCTGTATTTCCCTCATCATCTCCTTCTTTGGTAATGAAAAGAGGAATTAAACCAAGATGACTCAATCTTCACCTAAAGTAAACACTTGCAGCCAGTACATTTAAAAAGTTAATCTGCTACAAGTCCTTGATTAAATGGCCAGAGTGTGGTCCTGTTATGCAACACAGATGCTTTTATATAAAGCCTGTCATTGAGACTAAACAGATATTTGCATCCTTGCTTGAATTACGTCCAGAGTGTCTCCATCTGCATGGATAAACACACATCTCTCAGCCTGAGGTGAGAGTGAGGATGTGTTGTGAGTGCAGTCGGGAGGGAGAGATGTACGGAAGTGTTTTATCGTCAGGAGGTCATGTTTGTTGTGTTCAAGGTCTCTGGGTTACTCAAACATCAAGGTCAAAATGTGACGACTAGTCTTCACGTCATATTTCTGCACATGGACCCACTTTAAATAAGCTCTCAGCTGGTTTCTCATCCTGTTACTGTGAACATGAGGTTCTTCTGTCGGTAACATCACCAGGAGTTTATTATATGAGATCAGTGTTGATGAGAGCAACAGGTTTGCTCTGTCTTTCCTTCTGCCATGAACATCAGACCTGCAGATGTTTTAAAGTGCACATCTGCAAGAGCCAGGGCAACATTTCTCTAAACACACAAGAAACCATATTAACTGGATGAATTCAAATGCAACAGATGACGTGCATCATCAAATACCTACATTAATAAGTTATTGTCTAATTTCTTTCTGTTAATAAGTTCAACAAAGTTTGGTTGTATGCCTCCACCAACCAGTGCACTTTCAGTTTGCAGATCTTCTTTTTCCAGACACGTGAGGTCACTGTGACCTTTGACCACTGAAATCTAATCAGACTTGAGAAATCACATTCAAGATGCCAAAAACAGGAATTGTGCGGTCACAGTGACATTGACCTTTGACCAACCAAAGCTAATCAGATCATGCGTAAGTCCAAGTGAGTTTTTACCAAATTTGAAGACATTCCCCCACAGGGTTCTTGAGATATCATGTTCATCATAATATCATATGTATCATAATGGGCCGGATGGACGGACAAAAACCTGAAAACATTATGCCGTTGGCCACTGGCATCATGAAAACATTAAGTCATGACTCAACAATCATTCAGGAACTTATAAATAACATCGGGTGAATTAAGTTTATAGACAAAACAGTTTGAGAGAGAGAGACAGAAAGAGA